TATATACAAAGAAAAAAAGTTAGCATTTTTCAATTTTGAGAAATTTATGGTTTCACTATGAAACCAGTGAACAGTAACGGTCCCCTTTTCCTACTCAAACTGACCAATCAAAAAGATTATTCAGAAAAAAAATCTAATATTTTATGACCATAAAACATTTATACTTTAACGAAATTAATTAAGGAAAAATTACTTTAAAAGTTTTTAATTATTTTTTTAAAAAATTTCCGCACTTTTATAATTTTTAATACAATTTTGGACATAAAATTACACATATTTTACATTACATACTAAAAATAATTTATATTTCTTAATAAAAAATTGTTAATACATATAAATTTTCCAGCTGTAACTATAAAGATAGAATATTAAAATCTATTATGTACACACAGGATCACACATTTAGGCATATGCATCTGCACAGGGTGGCAGAATTTTAGAGTGCGGATAAATATATTTAAATACAAAAACAAATTCTCACTATAATTTTAAAGTAAATGAATATTTTGCTATACTTGTAATAAAGAAATATTGCTTTAGAAAGTCAGTTGCTGAGAGAATTTTCGCTTTAGAATGGGTGCCAAGAGACTTGCAATACTGCCTCTTACTGGAGTTTGGTTTCGCAGTAAAACCATAAATTTTAATTTCCTTTTTCTACTCTTTTGCTTACTTATCAAAATAATTGAAAGTTGTAATTAATAGCTGGAAAGACTCATAGTAAGATCGCATTCTATAGTTTAAAATACCTATTTTTTTAATATTTTTAAAGCTAAAGGAATTTACTAAAGTTAAAGAGACGTCAATATTTTTCTATTTAGGAGGTCTCAATCGTTAAATATAGCCGTAGTGCTGCTATTTATTGCTCGGGAAAAGAACAAAAATTCAAAAACTGCTCTAATTGAGATAAAAAAGTTTTAAATTTGATTTTTAAAAAAATGTTTAATGTGTGGTTTCGGTGTGAAACCAATGAACGTTTAAAGGCTAAATGCTGAAAACTGGTAATACGTAAATCATAATGTGATAAAAAAAATTTATGCTCTCATTTCATTTTTGCAATACATTTGTTGTCTCATTCACATCTCTGGATATTTTTCTCCGCACAAAAACAGGCATGACGACAATTGCTGCCACTTACTTTCTTTTAAATGTAAAAATAGAGTTTTGACTTTCGCGTATAAAATAAAAAGAAAAACAATGACAAAATTATCGACATATTAAAAGTGAAAACTACAAAATGGAGCGGTAATATACTCAAATTCTGAAAAGTAAACTCAGCTAAGGTCCCTCTTTTCTGTTCTTAAAATATTTTCTTCCATTAAATGAAAACTATGATGAGTGTACGAAAATACACGGTAAAACTTTTGAGTAAGATTCCAAAATAATTACTTTTTAGAATAGCAGAAATTCACAATCAGAATTACTCGCTCGTATTTTCAAACTAAGAACGGGTGTTATCAAATACAACATAATGCTTTGGCTGCGTTAGATTCCACCTTAAACTTCCCATGGCGGAATAAACGGTGTCTTTAAAGAGAGCTCACTGGTAGAATATTTCGTCATTAAAGTATACGTAGTTTTCCAAGAAAGTTTTCAGAAATATACACTTATGTAACAAATATTATAAATTTAGAGGAAGTGTATCTTCCTTTAAGGAGAATTCCAACCAAATTTACTGTAAATACAAGGGGAAAGATTGTGTTAGTAATTTTATTCAGAACTACAAAAATTCTTGTTCTACTTTATGTTTTCCACTAAATTCTAACCCTTTGCAACTCATACTGACGGATAGATATAATTCTATATAATAAAAATCTTCAATAAAAAGATCTATTACAGATCTGAATTATAATTTTCACAAACTGATGGCATATTTAATACACATTAAAGGTACCGTAATATTCCGTATTATTCTTCATGTTTCATGTTACATCAGTGCTTCTCAAACTTTCGATACGTGTGACCCAATTAAGAATCATAACTTTCATCCCCCCCCCCCCACAAAATTACAATGTATTGAATTCAATAATAATATACTTTAACGTAAGGCTACAAATCGACTTTAATTATAAACCGTACAAATTATCAAGATAAGTGTCACACAAATATTTTGTACATAATTTTATGACTTGCCCATAGGGTCACTGGTAATTCTTAAATTTGTTCTTAACTTAGTACTGTTAAATTAATTATGAAACACATTGTGCAGTACAGATATATTTATAAGTGTATTATATCAGTGTAAATGTGTATTTTACTCTTTATTATGTAGGAATGTACTTTGTTTCGCTTCCTTTCAGTAAAGTAATAATTTTTTTAAAAATAATCTTTTGTTTTCAACTTTTTAATATACTCGTGCCCCCTTGAAGGTTTATCACACCCCCCTAGGGAGGCACGACTAACAGTTTGTGAAACACTGTGTTACATTTTTATAGTTTTGTTATCTGATGTAATGTTAAAACTCAGAGTTCAGTGCCCAGTGAATTGCAATTCTTCAGTTTAGAAGATAATCTTAATGTAATTTTTCAACAATAAAAAATATCTAAACTATTAAAAGTAAAAATAAATTTTATTCTTCTGTTTAATTGATAATATATTCCTTTTCCTTGCACATTTTGGGTGATATTTTTGCAGCTATTTACAGTAAGAAAATCAAAATTGTTGACATATTTTTATTGATTTTCATTCAATTTCTAAATACAATTTTTCAGGTTAGTACATAGTCCATGTGGAAACTTTTAGCATTCAACGCCTTTTTTCGCTAAGCATGCTAGTAACTGTTAAAAATTCCTTTAGACCATATTTATTATAATGTAACAGAAATGCAAAGGAAAATTTCAAAATTTTTCAATACGAATATTTTACATGTAATTTTTCTTAATAAAACAAATACCCTTTATTACATTTTTAAGTTTGAAAATGTCTCACTTTATTACATTTGCATAAAAAAATAAGCTTAGTTGGCAATAGGCAAAAGTTGAGAGCCAGTTATGAGGAAACTTCTATCACAAATAATATATCAGTTGAGCAACGGTAAATAAAAATTATTTAAAAAAATATGTAACAATTTGATTCAAACATACTACCCCTTATATATCTTAATTTTAAGAGTTTGCTATTAATGTATTTTTCTACTTCGCATTGCTAACTGATTTGTTAAGGATTATATGTATACAGTCGCGGACCTATGTATAACGAAGTCGCTAAATCCCGGAAAAAAGTTCGTTATATGGAAAATTCCTTATATAGAGGTTCATGTTTTAATATACTTAATAAAACCCATAAAACAAATTTCAAATTCTAAAACGCTATATATTAGAAGTGATTATTCACACTTTTTTTTAAAATTAATATATGTTTATTTTATATATCCTAAACAACAAAAAAGAAAGAAAGAAAGAAAAACTGCAAGGAAAACGAGAAAAAAGAATGTCGAAGAATTCACAGTATTTTCAATATTAAGAAAATAATTTTACACTAAATTTAATGAACTTTAAGGGAATTTTATAATTAGAACACGGGGACACGGGGAAACTACATTGAGGGTGAAAGAAGACACCGAAGATGGTTCTAGTGAACTGGGCAATGGGGGTTAAATTTTGCTCTTCTTGGAGGAAACATCCAGAACTCTATTGCTCTAGGCGAGTAAGGATCTAATACAACCCGTTCAAGATTTATGACCACCATAAAATGTATTAAAAAGGGAATAGCTTGAAATTTTTTCAGAAATACTTTAAAAAAAATGGAGAACAAAAATTGAATCACAAAAGAAAAGTTCGTTATATAAAAAATGCACTTCACTATAGAGAGGTTATTTTACGAAGAAAATCGTAAAATGTTCCAGGAAAAAGTTCGCTATACAGAAAAATTCGTAATACAGAGGTTCGTTATATAGAGGTTCGACTGTATATAGATTCAAAATGATTCTTTAATTTCATAAATTAAACTTAATAAGGGACAAGATATCTTTTAAGACTACTTTTTCTGTTAACTTTCAATCCTTAAGCTCACCCAACCATACTTTGATTCGTGGAATACAGAAATATTTAAGCTGTATGAACAGTTTTCTTTTCCAAATGCTTCAGGGTATTCTTAAAGAAACGGAAATTTAAGTGCCATTAGCTGCTAATCTGTGCGAAAATCATTAAATATCTTTAGATATTAGAGGAAGTAACTGGGACTAAAACTTTTTAGCAGCAACTTACATGTAATTACTGACTATAAAGCTCATAACTGTTATTTCTTTTGGAACTTCAGACTAACAGTAATTAAGGCATTTTGGAAAATTTCCCAATAACAAGCCGGAGGAGATTAAAGTAAAGCTGTTCCATTTAAAATTTTGAAAGTGATGCCGCCAGAAAGATTTTAAGATAATTATTCAGAATTAGGCAGAAGCGTTTTATCGTTATTTAAATTTTTGCTTAATTTTATTACAGAGGAAATGGAAAGAGAGATTAGAGGAGAATATGCTAATGAAGCTAATATATTTCTTACTTTTGACGGAATTTAAGCCTTATCGTGTAGTGTTATCTAAAAGACTTTTAAGGAAGCACAACTCGATAAAGCACTTTTCTTTTAAAAAAAAAGTTTAAAAATTATTTTATAATCATCTATTGAGAGACATAATGAATGCGGGGAATTTCTTATAGAAAGATTAGATGAAGTATATTTGTTCGAAAATTTTATTTCTTAACATGGAAAAGCAAGATCACACAAACAAGTAATATAAAAGAAATAAGTCCATTCCTACATAGGTCAATAAAAAAATATTTAATTTAGTTACTTTTTATTAAATAGTTACAATTAATATGAAATGTACATGCATACACACTATTAAGTGACAAAACAGAAAGCTATTTTCCTTGTAATTTTCCTTTTTTCTTTCTATATATGATGTTGGACTATTTTTTGTTTGTTTGTGTTACTATTTATTTATTCATTAAATTTAATTATTCTAATAAAATAGTATATTAAAAAAGGAATCACATTCGAAGAAACTAGGCCATCCTAGGTGAGATTAGAACCCACGACCTTTGGATTAGTAGTCCTACGCGCTATCCATTGCGCTACAAGGACACACAGAAAGATTTTTCTTTCTATATATGCTGTTGGATTATTATTTTTGTTTGTCCCTATTTAATTAATGAATTAATATTTGAAAAAAATTATTAACATCAAGTGTCCTCCACTACAAGTTTAAAAAATGTATTATATATGATATATTAATGTATATATATATATATATATATATATATATATATATATATATATATATATAGCAGGAATTGAAAATGAGCAATTCAATAATACTATACTTTGATGCTAAACTTACAGTACTACTTTAAATGGCCCCGGCGTATATAAGCGTCTTGCTCAGCCAGTGTTTTAATTGCTCCTGACGTATATATACGTCTTTTTGAAGTACGATATTTTCTGTGCACTGCTATCGATAAAATTATTCCGATGGATTTGGAATGCAGTAAAAGAATCTTGACAGTGTTGGGAAGGATATACTTGTTTCAGAGGATTTGCTTATTTATTCCTTTTCTATCCATGCCCCCACCCGATACACTACATACGCTCGCCTACGTGCTGAAAAGTGGCATTGGGGAGCGAATCGCGTAACTTTTAATTGGCATTTAAGGAATTATAAACTGTACAGATTATCAAGATAAGTGTAGATTTTTGTTTTTAATATTATACATGACAAACCTATAGGGTCACTGTTAATTATTAATCCTGTTCTTAACTTAGTATTGTTAAGTTAATTATGAAATATATTGCGCAGTGCTGATATATTTATAAGTGTATTATATCAATGTAAATGTGTATTTTATTTTTATTACGTCAGAATGTATTTATTTGTTTACTTTCAAAAAAATAATAATTTTTTAAAAAAGTAATTTTTTTAGATTTTTCAACATGCTTGCGCCGCCCTTGTAGGGTTATGATGTCTCCTACGGGGGTGCGCCCCACAGTTTGAGAAACACTGGTCCAATATGATGATAAGTCCTTCGTTAAGAAATATGACCATCTCATACACTAATGAAAATTTAGAATCTGTTATGCATACCGTCCTCTAAAATATCGAGGAGAGTTTGAGGGTACTGTCCCATTGTTCTCTAAATGTGATAGGGACCTCCTGCAACGTTCGGGGTGGTAATTTCCTTTCAGAAACAAATTTGTTCCGGACACAAGGATTCCAGTAAATACTCAGTTTATCTTACGCGCTTCCAGTCTCTTGTCTCTAAAATGTTGGAGACTTTCACTTCAATGACTGGTGTCGTAAAAATGAGAAATGCAACATTTAAATTCATTAAATTTAAACGAGCTTAGTAAAATATTATTCACTAATAAAATTCATTAAACATAACAGAAACTTAATTAAACATAAACTTATTAAAAGTTTCTGTGACCAAGCATAAAGGGGCATTTGGAACAGGGTGAATCAATTAAGTGGAACTAGCTAGAAATTCTTTTATATTTAAAAAATGACTTTCTTAGTCTCATCCAAACATTTACAGTTTTATCGTTTTTGGTAGCACCAATAGATGCAGAATTTTAATAGGTAGCATAAGGATAGCAATATACTGATGCTGAAAAGAATAATCATTGGAAATTAAGGTATATAAATGATTTCAATAACTATTTTAGAGATGATAAGTATTGAAAAATAGAATATCTACGGAAGTCCATAAACATAAGGTAGATATTATTTCTTAGAAGTTTTAACTGAACGACTCTAGTATTTTCTCTCTTTTATCACTTATTACAAAAAATAAATGCTTTTAGCCATTTCTTTTATTTAAGGTATGTGACTACCCAAAATTCGCCGTTTTGGTGAATATTTTCGAAATTCCTAATAATTTTGTTTTATAGCCCATACATTTAATATTCTAAAAACATTCTATTTTTGTTTCTACTACATCTAGAAGCAAAGTTATAGCATAATTAGTAAACCGGAAATGAAGTTTACAAAACCGGAAGTAGGTACCTACGCAAAATATTTTTAAGATATAGTATTGAAATTTTCAGAACCTGTTTTATTTAGCTCTATCTGTGTTTTGAATCAAAATCTAATCTCTGTGTATATATTTATGTACTTTATTGCTTTTTTATGAAAAAAAATCATTAATTTTTTAAAAAATCGTGTTTTTGCATAAAATTTGGAATAGTTAAAAAACTTTACAAAGTATTACAAATCTTTTAATTTATAACACATATAAAGATGTAATACACATACTGTATAAATATTATTGGAGTACATTTATTAGAATTTTGTGTAACTGCCCCTTTTCATCAAAATTTCACTAAAAACGACAATTGTTATAGTCTATAAAACTCTCCAGAAAACATCAAAAAGTTAAAAAAAAGTCCAATTTAGTTAAGCATGTAGTTAAAGATGTCTTGACCTATAAATATGGTGAATTTAAAAAATGTACAGTTAGTAGAAAATTTTTTACACTGTATTAAAATCTTTAAATGCGTTTTTTGGAAAACTGTTTTTCAATTTTTTGCTTCACGGTAAAGTTCACTAAAGGTTTTGTTTTAAAGATATTGAATTGGAAATTTCAGAAAATGTTTTATTTAGTTTTATCTGCATTCTAGACTATTATCTAATCTCTGTATATATATTTATGTATTTTATTGCACTTTTTGTGAGAAAATAACATTAGTTTCTTGTAAAAAATTGAGTTCTTGCATAAAAAATGACATATTTCAAAAACTTTCAAAAATATTAAAAACTTTATAGTTCCAATTATAAATAAGGATGTTATTTATGTACTGTATAAATATTATTCAAATATATTAATTAGAATTTTCAATACAAGCCTTACCATAACTGCAATTTTTCTCTAAAATTTCACTAAAAATTCCCAATATATCCAAAATTATTTTTAATTTTGTGGAAATTTTTCTTGATTTCCTAGTTTTTAAAGTATTTATTTCGTTGAAAATTTATATATTTTAAAAAAAGTGCTCCGAAGGTAGTCACATACCTTAAAAGATACAAGAATAGCACATTTTCAATATAGAAAATACATACCATGATCTAAACATGTTAAATTTATCTATCATAGGTTATATGCTTTATTTATTCTATTCCATGCAGAGGAAAATGTCCTAAACTTTAGCTAAACAGTTTCTTAAAATAGAAACATTCGTTCCAAAAGTAATCCTTATTTCCACAGTGTGCGTCTGAGACTTAAGAGACAATTTATAACTAAAATGATATATATTTATTGAAGAATTATTTTTCCTTTCCATTTCAGGCATTCTTTTAACTTTTTTCTTTAGTTCTAAGATTACTGATGTTAACTTAAAGCTTAGAATTTTATACATTATACTTTGAACATTTTTATAGTGAAAAGAATTTTTCACATATACTTTCACTTTATATTCAAATTAATTTTCATATTATTGTAAGATATCTTTATAGATCTTGGTTAAAATAAGTACCCGCATTAGATTTACTTCTCTAAATAGATTCATATTACAAAATGTTTTCTTTCCAACTGGATTTAATTTGCTTTCAGAATTTTTTGCACTTTGAAAAAAAAATGTTAAATGCTATGGGGCTTAATGAATTGAAGGATAAAAAGGCAAATATTTATTCGCATTTAATTATTTAAAATTCTATTGTTTCTGTCTGAGATATTAAATTATTATTCATTTTTTAAGCTTATGCAATTCATAAATGTGGACCTAACTCAAGTGTTTATTTCTTCTCTTGTTTTATAATATTTATATTTCTTTTTTTTATTTCCTTATTTTATATTACTCATTTTGTTAATTTTCGAGAACATTTAAAAATAATTAATATGCATTGCATTACTTTCTCAAAATATGCAAAATAATGTGGAAATATTAACATAAATATTGAATAGCAGCTCATAAATTGATGACTACATTCAATTTCAATATGCTCAATTTGAAGCAACTTTTAGTTAGAAATATATTGAAAATATTAAAACTTTTCATTGATTAATATTTTAAAATAATTAAATAAATAAATCTTTATCGAAAAGTAGAAATTACAATAGTTTATAAATTCAAGCATTGAAATTAAATTAACCGATATTATTAAAGAGAATTTTTAAGTCTATACGTTTCTTAAAAAATACTTCTCAAATTTAGTTTCAGCACTTTTTAAGTGTATTTTGTAATCATTAATTTCTGGAGGAAGGAAAAGAATTATTTGTATCATTTCTTAAGAATAGCAAGTTTTGAGAAAATAAAGATTTCATCACATCATTTTTGTGTTGAAATTATTTTACTTTCAAAACATATTCATTGTGTTTATTTCTTTAGATTTTATGTTTGCTAACAAAACTTTGTGTATAAATATTTTCGAAATAATAATGTGATATTAAATACTAAAAAAATTAATCTTATTTAACTTGAAGTACAAAGATTCAGACTTCGCCTTGTATCTACCCGAAGAATTTCGGTAACAAATTCCTTTTCTTGCTGTTTTCTGTTTAACTATTCAGTTAAAACTTAAATTTCAACATGTTTTTGTTTTGTGTCTTAAACAGAAAGTTTGAAAAACTATTTAGTTCTCGATAAAAAGAAATATTTTCCTTCTTACCTCGTTTTCGAGAATCTTCCGTCTTTTAAGTACTTTGAAACTATATAGTGATAAGAATTCTGGTCAAGCCGTTTGTCATGATAGAATTCAAAGTTTAATAATAGCAGTGATAGAAATAAAGTAAGAATGTTGTGGGTTCCCATTCACATTTCTTGTAACTAACATCACTTTACTATAAGCTTTGATAAGAAAATCCAACTTATGAAAGAAATATAATGTATGCAAATGAACATAACTATTTTAAGAATGTATTGAATGAATGTGGAGTAGGACAAAAGAAAGATAAGAGGAAGGACAGAGGAAAGATAAGAGAATGGATAGACTAGGGATAGTAGAATAAAAGAGTGTTATAGAAACGGTTTAAATAGAGCACCAGAAGAGATTTTGATTACAACTACTCGAATAGAACCCCTTTGTTATAAATCTACATTATAGATCGAAAGATAAGTAGTTATGTGTATGATTCATGTTTGATGGAGTCAGA